GCATATATATATTTTTGTCTGGAGGTTTGTATAAATGTGATTATGTGTTATGTAGAGAACATGACCGACCACCAATTTTTATAAATTCCTAGTCTTCTTTTGTGATATCGCCTTCATTCGGTAGAACTAGAACTTTTTCGTCTTCTCTATACAAAAGCATAACAAACACACACCTAATGAAAAATCTCTTTAAGACTCCACAATTAAATAATGACCATTGTGGATGAGGTTGTTGATGATGATGGTGCTGATAATGATGCCTATAAACTGTAATTATTTCTTCTTTTTTTTTTTTTCACATTTTATCTTTTTTGTTTAATTTTCGTACGGAGTACAATAACAATATTTCAGATTTAAAGAAAAAGATTATTTATTTGTTAAATAAGTAAGAAAAAATAATAATAAAAATAATAAAGAAAACAAAAACAAAATAATCATGTTAAAATGCCCGTATCAATCCCCAAAAGTATCCAACGGAGAAATGTGAACTAAGAAACTAATTACAAATATACAGATTCATACATACATATAAAAATAGTAAAAAAACTACATGTATATGTATGTATGTATGTATGTACTTTGTCTAAATATGTATCGTGAATTGCCTTTATTTTAAAAGTGTAAAAAGTTCATTGGCTCCTCAATTCGCTGTTCTGTTTTTTACTGATTAATCAAAGAAATTTTCCAGCAAAATTTATCGTTCCAAGGCCAAACTTCAAAAATGTTTATAAAACATTATTTATGCGTTGCATATGTATAATTTGATATGTAGCATTTGTTTTTTCTTCTTTGAATATGCATAAATTTTTGTGGTTTTTTAGATTTTAAAATTAAATAAGTATGTGCATTAGGTAGTTACCAGCAGCATACCGATAACAAAAGTATTTAAAACAAACAATTTTTGCCGCAAAATTACTTAATCTGCTTTTTTGCCATATTCTTATTAAGAAATATTGCTATCAGTTTAGGTTAAGTTGATAGGAGGATGTATACTACATATAATCCGAAGAAATACATCTAGTCCACTATCGGGCCTGTTGTGTGCTCCTTTTCATGAAAAAAATATTGGTTCAGTTTCCTGGACGTAATTTCTAAGAATTTTCCAATCATTGAAAAAAATATTGGTTCAGTTTCCTGGACGTAATTCCTAAGAATTTTCCAATCAGTGTTAGTAAGGAGTGTTATTTTCGGAATAACATCACTCCTAAGGTACTTGGATCTAACTTCGACGAATGCCTGACAGTGGTAAAGAAAGTGCTCCAGAGTATTACTGTCCTCTCCACATGCTCTACATTTAGATGTGCCCGTAATTCTGTATGTCCACTCAGAATACGTACCTTCATTATTCCAAGAGGCCTTATGGGATTCTCTCACCCATATTTTTAATTCAGGTTTTGTTGCGTCGAATGGTTTTGTGTTCGTCAGGTTTACTACCTCGAGCTCCCCTCCCTTTAAAGCTATTACATTCGCCCTTTCGTTGCTGACTACTCTCCAGTGGCCTGGTACCCATATGATGCAAACCTTACCTCTGGGAGAATATTCACTTAAATCTTTCTTACAATCCAATACAGTATTAGATTTAATTCTGTCACCTGATATCGCCCTAATTGCCTTCTTCTCGGTAAATATATTTTATGCCCTGTGGGCGACATATTTATTCGAATCCAATTTACACATTCCGTTTTTGCTCTGACTTCTGCCTGGAAGCTTGTGTTATGATTACGTAAAGGGTGGTATATTTATATTTCTGGGTCTTCAATATAAAACCCCAGGGCCACTTTGTCCCCCAATTTACTCTAATGTTCCGCTTGACCAAGACATTCTATCTGGGATCACCGTTTCAAAGTTTCCGACATATTCTGTGTATGGTATGCGATCAGGCACGTCCGATGATTGCGTATAACCTTCCAATGTGTCCAGTATACATTGATGACTTGTCCTATAACAGCTTTTGGTCAGTACGCCTGTAAGCGCCAGCTCATATCTTAAATATGTTTTAATGGGTGGAATATCTAGAAACATTTCCAGAGCCTGGGTTGAAGTAGTACACATGGCACCACTTATACCCTAGCAGCTTGTACGCTTGTATATCTAGAGACTTTAGTATACAACATATATCCAGTATTACGTCGGAAAAGACTTTGTGATCTTAGATTTTTTCTCTCTTATTAGAAAAAAGTAATATTTCATGGTTTATAGTAATATTATAATCTAACATTTTTAAAAATAATTTTAACCCATTCATTAATATTTAATCGATTTCCGGCACGATTTTCCTTAATCAAAATGGCTTCAAATTTTGAATCAATTAATATTAAATACTAAAAAACCTAATAAGACCCACCCAAGTATAAATAATAGATATAATTTTTAAAAATTTTCTTAGCAACATTTTTATGATTTTTATAGCTTTTGTGTTTTGTTTATTTGAAGGAATGCATATTTTATTAAACATTTTGAATAATACAAGTAAAGGAAGAAATTTAAATTATAAAGAAAATTTTAAATTCCAATCGTATAGGGCAATAATAAAATAATAAATGAAGAAGGTCATGATTAAGTGTGATTTAATGTATTTTTTTTTATCTATCTATTATTTTACATCTTGAAAAGAATTTTATCTACAGGATGTTTAAAAAAAGAAAAAGAGATAATCATCAATTTTATGCAACGTGCATTGAATATTGAAATTATACATTTTCTATATACACACTTAATAAAAATATACATATGAATATTTTCCAGATGTTGAACTCAACTTAATATGTATCTTATTTATAATGTTTAAGACTTAGAATGTATGTAATATATAATTGCATATTAATAATAATAATGATAATTGTTTTATTTGCGCAAATAAAAACGTTTATAAATTAAAGTTACTAACTGCTGAACTTTCTTAATGATATTCATTTTTATTTTATATATGTATACAAACCATGCATACTTTCATATAAGCATATAAATAAAAAAGTATGTTTTTGTACATAGATACAACTTTATTTCACGGATGTATGTATGTATGTTTCTATGTATTTTTATATACTCATACATTAATTTAAACATTACTTAAAGGCAATAGAAAAAAGTTCAAAGAACTTTCGTTTCCATTAGATTAGAAAATACAAATTGTATATACATAAATAAATCATTATAATTAGTGAAGAACTTAACAATTACTAGATTGTGGCATATTCTTTAATTAATGATCATATGTAGTTTTTTTTTATTATTATTCTTGTTCTACATGCATACAAACATACATATGTGTATGATGTTTTGTATATGCCTGCTGGGTTCAATATTATTAAGTTTAACCAAAAACCATCAACAGTTTTATAATCTTCTAGACTTATTTGTATGAAAGGGTGTTTTAATAGCTCAACATGTATACGACCACATAAAATGTACATAATTATGTTTTCATCTTTATTTTTTAATTGTTTTTTTTACAAATTAAATTGCTTTGAAAGTTTATACTAAACTTGTGAAAATGATTTTAAAATAGTTTTCGTATTTTTCTCAATTATCATTTGGATCCTTATAAATTCGGCTGTACTATTTTATATTTCTAAAGATACAAGATCTTTTAATAAAAAATTCACAACTACTTACATTTTTTAGCATATTTTGGAATATATCGGGCATGCATAGACAATTTGTATATAAAATTAAACTCAATTTGAAGATTTGTGCTGATGTTTGTAGCACATATAAAAATATTGTTCCTACACACCCACCTTTAAGAAAACTAATCGACTTAGAATCTGTCCATTCATCAATCTTTACATGTATATTTTGTAATCAAACTATAACAATAACAATTTTAAAGATAATTTAAATACTATAATCCTCCAGAGTTTCACTGTCCTCTCCACATGCTCTATATTCGTCTGAATCCGCACGTCCACATTTTGTACAGATGTGCTCGTAATCCTGTGTGTCCACTCAGGATACGTACCATCACACTAACTTCAGACTTGCCCATTTTGAGCAGATTTCTTGTCTTGTCCTCATCAGGGTCACCTGATCTTTGTGGTTTTACGCACCGTTACATTATTCCAAGGGGCCATATGGGATTCTCTCACCCATATTTTTAACAATGTTTTGACAGCATAACCAATTTTGTTTAATTCGTTAAAAAATTAATAAGATTTTGTAAGATTGAAAAAATCAATATTTTTTCTCCAAAACAATAATTTCTATTTAGGAAAAATTGTGTATAAGATTCAACATAGACGTTTATTAATAAAATACGATTTATAAAACAGTCAGATTTTAAACATGCATTTAAAATATAATAAAATTGTTATAGTTAATTTTGATTTACTCATTTTACAAATGAGTCATTCTCAACTGCAACGAATGCTTAGTTCTACTAAACAAATTTAGTCAAGAAATATTATATTCTATTCTTTTTAATGATATCTCACTGTTGATAAAATTTTCTTAACGAAAGATTCTTTAAATTTTCCCATAAAACGTGTTGCTAAGGATTAATTTTATTGTCACGCATCAATTGAATGAATGAAAGAGTGTGACAATGAGTATTAATGTTTTATTGACAATCAATATAAACGAACGTTTTTTTTTTTTTTGAATGACACCTTTCGTTTGGCTGTTAATATTTATTACGAATTACTTTCACTGTAAGCGGGCGGCGGCGAGTGAGCAAGCGTACGAGCAAACAAGCAAGTAAGCAAGCAGCAAAGCAACAACACGTTAAGACTTCCTGTTCTTACAACACCTGTCTTCTGCATTTATATTTTTAACTTATTTAACATTAATTGCATTCAACGTATTAGCTTCGTAAACGTCATATATTCAGGTATTCAGAGAATTCTCACTGGGTTAATATAAGTAAGTAAAGCGAGCAAACATTCTTTTAGCATGTGAAAGTATATGTATGTATATTGGATGCATTTATATTGTAAACTTTGCACAATTACTTTGTAAAAATAATTAATTACATATTTCAAATCATCAACTTAACTCGTCTTATATAAACGTTGTTAAATGTTGATGTTATTATTCAATTGTAACACAAGCTTCAACAAAGTACATACCCACCAACAATCGACATGAGTAAATTCTTAGTGATCTTTTTGATTGTCCTTGTTTTGGGTTTCTCGGCATCTTTGCCACAGATAGAACATGGTTCTTTAAATGGACCTAGTGGTGTAAGTTTTACTTGTTAATTTTCAATGTATATTTTACAATTAAGAATTTTATCCTTTTAGCGTTTTGAGCGTACAAAAAATCAAGCTGCTCCTCCTGTTGATCTCAGTTTACCACCTATATTCTTGCCAGAATCCATTCCCATACATGAGGATGTTAAAGAATTTCATGGAAGTTATTAATTTATAATTTTGTTTGTTGTTAATTTAAATTATTAGTAAATTAAATCCATAATTTAAGGATAAATATAATATTTAAAAAATAAAATTAATATTAAAAATTTTAAGTACTTATTTAGGAGAATGACTTCAATTCTCAATATAATCAGTATAGTAAATCGTTATAAAACAAAAATTTCGAAAACAAAAATTTTTATTTAAAATTTCGGTATTAGTCGAATTCACTTTTCGGTACTATTTTTTTGAATAAAAATTTGTTTTCTCATTTAGTCCTTATATGAGGAAAGTAGGGGCTTATTGTTCGGTTACAAATTTTCATAATTCCGTATGTTACTAAATCACATCGTTTTGGGGTCTATAGTGACAGTTTATGTTGATAGGATGCACTCAGAGCATTTACATGTGTATATGCTATAACCTTAACTTGATGCAGAAGGTGGCTTACGACTCTTATAAGGGTTTTAACGGGTCGTTGTTTAATTAGAGCTTTTTTATATTGGGACAATACCATTGAGAATTTACATATGTACATGCTATAGTCTAAATCATTAGGCTATCAGAGCATTTACATGTGTATATGCTATAGCCTAAACTTGATACAGAAGGTGTCTTACGACTCTTATAAGGGTTTTAACGGGTCATTGTCCAATTAGAGCTTTTATAAGAAATTGGGACAATACCATATCGGGCTTCTGATGAGGAGCTAGGAACTATTTATTTGACATTAACTAGGTATACAAAGTCTTGGACAAAAGTGGTTAGGGAATATGTGCAATATGCGCGGGCCTTTTTGATAAGTAGGCGATAGTGGACACTTTTATCTAGATCCGAATTTAGAGTCAGGAACGTGAGTTATATTTGACCACAATTCTACAAATTATATTTCTCTTCTGCCTGGTTTATTTTTCACATATTGGTCTCCTAGTTGAACATTATGGTCCTAACCTACTTAAAAGGAATTATGAAAAAAGTTTATATCTGAACTTTGTTCTTTATTGTCCCTAAATAATCGAGAGTAGATTTTTAAAAGGTGTTTTTAATGAGAGTAAAATGTGATCTAGTTTTCATAAAAAAGCATTTAAGTTGATTTGTACCTCGCCACCGATACAATTTATTGATAAAAAAAACGAATTTTCTGAAGGATGCTTTATGTGGGGACTTTCCCCGAACCCCATATGAGCCGATCCTCATAAAATCGATTTAGAAAATAATTCTAAGCCGATTCATGTACTGGGTATAGGACCAGTATTATTGTACGTTACAAACATCAGCACAAACCCAATATACCCTCCCCTCTAAAGTTGTGTAGGGTATAATAAGTAATTACAAAACTAATTTTGTTACCCGAGGTAGGGATGGTATTTACATATATGCTCTAAAATCTGCTCGCTATTGGTTCTTGAGTTGATTGAACACTAGTTTAATCTATACAAGATTAATAAATAGAAATAACACAATTTTATTTTTCATAAGCCCAAGAGTATGCTTTAAAATTTTAAGAAATTTAAAAAATAACAAACAAAATTAATGCGGTATAGTTTTGGGATTGATTTATTACATTTATTTACTTTTGAATTAGTAAATGAAAGTACGTGAAACTCTGGTGGAAGTGTATTGTATAAAAGATAAATGTTTGACACTATACTATATTCATAAGTATTAATTCAATGTCGAAAGCAGTAACTTTATTATTTAATTTTATTAGTTAATTCTATAACTCCGACTAGTTTTTAATTAACAAAAATTTTATAAAAGAGAAATGTTTATTACCATAACTTTCTTATTTGTCTAATTACTTCTGTAATAGAAGACAAATAAGAATATATTGATTTATTTTAAAAACTAAGCAAATTTATGTTCCAAGTTGAAGCAAGTGTTTTTATTTTTCCAACATTTTACGAAATTTATTATCAATATTATTTATAAAGGGTTTTTTTGCAATTTTTTTTTTTTTTTGTTGATAATGACATTTAAGTGGCAAACAATTTATAATACTATTGTAGCCACAATAACTAAATATAAATAATTTTAAAATGCAAGCAATATTTTATTCTATACGTGTTTCCACTTAAATTCCTACAAATCAACGGAGAAAAAAAAACGTTTTAACTAATTGTATAGTGAATTTAAAGATGTAAGATAAAACTATGTACATATTCTGTAAATATGCACACTCAACTGGATATATGTATATTTAGTTTCAAATTAACTAAACTAAATAATTTATGGACCTACAATTAAAATCTGAGCAAATGCATTTCAAATGATGCATTCAAAATACAAAATAAATATATAGACAGGCAGACATACTTTATAACTTACTAACTAGCTGATATGAAATGTTTCATAGTAATTCCAAGTTCAGTTACAAAACTCTTATTTCAAATAAATATTTAAATTTATTTTCTCATACAAGTTTAAAGAATTTCTTATTAACACATAACACATGACAAACATAAATATTAATAATAAACAATTTTTGACTTTATTTGTTTAATTAGGTATTTCGACACCAAGTTTTTTTATTCATTAATAATAACAAGAATTAATAAATTAACAGAACTTTAAATTAGTTAAATGTGTCTAGTATTTTGTTGTTTTAAAGTTTTTTTTTTTTTTTTGAACAAATTAACAAAATATTCTATTAAGCAAGTTTTTTGTTGAACATATTGAGACAAAATGAATTTATTATTTGTTGAAAAGAATAGTTGATTGTCGTAGAATTACAGCGAATAACTAAGAATGTGGAATAAATTAAATATAATTAACACAATATTATGAATGATTGATAGAAATTCGAATTAATTATCAATTATATTTAAAAAACCGTCATCTCAATTAAACAAACAAATTAATAAAATGTATTAAACTAAGTACAGTTTGTTATTTATTGTTATAATAACAAATAAAACATATATAAATAAACAGTGGTGGTCATATAATTAAAACTTAATTGATAAAAAATAATTTATTTGGTTTTAAAATTAAAATAATACATAAATAATTAAATAAAAAAAATATTAAAAACAACTACTTTGGCGTTGAGACGAATGATTTTTGTTCGAAATTGTCATCTTCGAAACCGGTTCTGTGGAAGTGTTATGGAGTCGATATTAGTTCTACGGAACGCTTCTGGAAACAAATTCTTTTAACAATGATTTTTGTTTGAATTTTTCACCATCGGAACTATTTAGAAGTATTTAAGAACCACAACAATGTTACGAGAAAAGGGTTTCTGAAGTAATGGCGACACCACTAGTGCCAAGGTTGTTGTTTAAGAATCTGAAGTGATTCTGTTAGCTCTCGTTCTAGAACTAGTTGTTTTTAGAACAAGTTCTAAAATTTTTCCTTGGAAATATTATTTTATTGCAACTCAGTTATATTGTTCTAATTTTATGTACTCCACTGTATATTGTGCATACGTACATACGTATGTTTGTACATTTATAGACACATTATTGGTGATTATAATTAGGAAAAACACTTGTTGGTTCCACTCACTAACACGCCGTTATAGTGAGTCATTATTGGCAGCAGCCAGTAAACAACTGCAGATAGATGATAGTTCCTTAACTAAAGCCTTTTTGTTTTACATTATCCATAACGATGCTTAAGAGTTTTTAATGAAGTCAGAACATTTTATGAGTGTAATCTTTTTTTTCTGTTTTTGAAAATTAGTATTCACTTCGAAAAGGCGATATATCAGATATTTATTTCAAAATTAGACTCAAATTAATTTTTAAAAATTATTTTTACAAAAATACTTTAAAAGAGTCTGAATAGTTGACATAATTTAACAGATTAAGTGAATTGTTCTTTTTTCTAAGTCATGAGACTTATTTGCCGATCCTCAAGTGTTTTTAGTTTTTTAGACAAAATGTTGAATACATACAAATAGTATCATTTAAATAAGAAAAGATTTCATTCCTTGACAACTCTGAGGTGAAATGGATATGAAAGAGACTGAAAAAAAGTGTTTCATTCACCATATACTCATACTAAGTGCAATTTACTGTTTCGCACTCAAAACGCTAAGCGAAAATTCACACATTCACACTCGCGCAATAATTTTAACCAATACAATTATCGAAAGAAAAAAAAAAAAAAACAGTTCTAAAGAAGACATGGAGAAAAACAAAATAATTAAACAAACAATGATTAAGTCGAAATGTGTATTACTCTACTGTTATCAGATTTAAACTAAAAAAAAATCTCAGGTGTTGACAAAAAGCAATTCAAGCATAGTTTAGCGAATTAGTTATTTACTACATTGTTCAAGTAAATGTCATAGTTCATGTATATAAAATATTAATATGTTGGGCTTTGTTTGAATTAGCTATTGCTGCTATTTGTATGCATAAATTAATCTTGATTCGACTATTAATTATTACTTAATGATTAAAAATAATATTGAAATAAATTTCATATAAATATGTAAATCGTATTTATTTATTTATTTATTCAAAGTAATACATATAGAAAGCCTAAATAGGCCAGTTAACTATATTACATAAAATTTGCTTCTTTATGGTTTTCTTCAGTTTATTTAAAATTACCTAATTTCTAGAATTTAAGAATTTTTTAATAACGAAAATGGAAAGAATATAAAATCTATGAACTTACAGCATCTCCAAAGGTTGATCTATAAATGCAACAGGTTTTCATATATTAACTTATAAACATATACATAACTTTTTTTTATCGTATTATTATACCGGCTTTTAAACAAACATTTTATTAAACCAGTTGTAGAGAAAATGGGTTATAATCGTGTAATTTAAAACTTAGAAAATATGCTTACGTATATGAACCTGTTATAAATTCGAAGACAAAATGATTATACCCTCCAAATATGTAAATAAAATCAATAATAAAACATAATATATTAATACGACACAGTATTGACCTACGCTTAGGTGATACAATATATTTTATAGACAAATAATAAAAGACTGAAGATGCAGTCGTGTTCGTTTTTTAAGTGATCTTTATATTTCATTGAACATTTTATATTCTTTTTAACATTAGCATTATTTGTTGTAGCGTACAATTAACAATACCATTTAGAGTGCTATCC